AATGAGATAGACATGAAACTGCCAGAATAAGGCCAATCGTTTATCCATGAGATAGTAAAATTACAATAACATTAAAAGTAGTGAAGTTGACAGTGGCCCCCGGGTTTTAACACCTGGTGTGTATCAGCCCTCCACTGGGCACTTTTCATACACCCATCATGTCATCAATCCTCAAAACATCCCATTTTATAGGTCATGTCCAGCAAACAGTTATTGAGCAATCGTGTAACATACCAGGCCCCTTTTAGATGCCTGGAACAGTGGCGGATACGATGGATATGATCCTTGCCCTCACAGAACTTACATTCTAGTAAGAGAGACGCTAGGAAACAAACAGATGGACAGGATCATTTGGGGGGAGGGTAGGTACAGTATCAGCAGAGTGATAAGAGGGAGAGTGGCTGTGTACGTGGCAAGGCTACTTTAGATATGTTGGCTGGAGGTCCCTTCTGCATCGGTGACCTTGGAATGGAGACCTGAAGGGTGAGGACTCAGAGATTTCAGGGAGATGAGCATTCAACAGGGAGAGAGCAATGCAAAGGTCCTGGGGTACAAACGAATCTAGTGTGGCTGAGGAACGGTAACGGGCCAGTGGGACTGGAGTGGAGCCAACCAGAGGAGAAAGGTAGGAGCTGACATCAGGGAGGTGGGAGGGGACGGCCATGCCGGGTCTTGTGTGTAGGCCAATGGGAACCTTCAGGTGAGAGCTAGAGTCTTGGGCAGTTTTAAGGCATGTGTAAGTGAGTTGCCCAGACTCAGAGTAAGCCCTGAGACCTGCTTCCAGCCANTGGCAATGAAGACATTTTTGACGGTCATAATTTACGGGGGTGTTGCCGGCATCAAGTGGGTAGAGGCCAGGGGTGCTGATAAACATCCTCTGGTGAACAGGACAGTCCCCACCATGGACCCAAAATGTCAGTATTGCCAAGAGGAGTATAGAGGGAGGTACAGTTTTGCCCATCATTACAATGTATCCTGTGCTTATGTGACTACTCAGATTTTCTACTTCTACTTAATCCACATTTGGTAATTTATATTTCCCTAGAACACTTTCCAAAAGAGGGAATTTGGTCACTTTGAAAATATTTACTCTGTTTTATGTATTTTTTTTGAAGAAAAAAACCAGTCTTTTCTTTAAAATTGGGGTTCTGACACTTTCATGCATTTTGAAAGAGACCAATGACAAACGTAGCTCTTGGATGGAGCTCCCGCTAGCAGGGGAGGGATTTAGGACCCATATGAGGGGGCAGAGGCTCTTCCTTTCCTCCCTGCCCCCGCCCCCCTTCCCCAGAAGAACCCTCACCAGCTCTGACAGGACAGGCAGGAAGATGATGATAGTGGCCGTGTTGCTGGCAAACTCGGTGAAGAAGGCAATGATGGCGGTGATGAGCAGTACGGCCAACATGGGTGACATGTTCTCCAGGGGGTGGAGCTGCTTACTGATCAACGCAGACAGCCCTGACTCCTGCAGAGGGGAGGAGGGAAGGCTATGACATCATATCCCAGCCCACCCCCAGCTGCCAGCCCTGAGGGCTGGACCCACGAGGGGGGTTTGGGGTCAATCGCAACGATGACAACAATACTCCTTCACAGATGGGGAGCCTGAGGTTCAGAGTGGGTAAGGTCCAAGTTCACACAGTTGAGCCTGGACTTAAACCAGCTTCTCTGCTTCTTGAACTTGTCTCTATTCCACATTGCATGGGCCCAGGGCCCAAACCCTTGGATCTGCAATCCCTTTGACTCTCCAAGTAATCCATATGGGTCTAGCACCCGAGCTCTACCTTGAATGGGAGAGGGGAATTGGACCCTCCATGATAAATCTCCCGTTCTTCCAATGATGGTTATTCATTTTCAAAATATTGACACAATTATTTATACAAAATATTAATCTTATAATTATATATTAATATGCATCAAATACATAATATAAATACAAGATATACTATATATCATATGTAATATAAAACATGTATCAGATATATGTAAAATACAACACTATCAATAGGATTATTAATAATAAAGATATTTCTGATCAGTAATAAGGATGATTATTAAAATGATAATATTAAAATGACAAATATTAATATTATTAACATTGTATTCTTCATTATCATAAGAATCGCCATTATTGAAGCTTTATCGGGTGCCAGGCACCTGCATACATTATCTCCTAGACTCCTCCCATCCATCCTGTAAGGAGGACATTCGTCCTTGCGTTACAGATGACGAACCTGAGCCCGGCCAAGTTTTTGCAATGCCCACGGTGCCCAGCAGCAATGACTGAGATGTATTTCACACCCAGGGCCACGTACTTCTGTAAGCTAATGTGCTCCTGCAAAGCTCTCTGTCACCCGGGTACCCTCCTCTGGACATGCCAATCTGTCACTACCCCTCTTCATGAAGAGCAATGCCCAGAGCTGACCACAGCCCTCCAGGACCGAGAAAGGACCAGTTACAGTGTCGCCTCCCTAGCTCCAGGCTGCCCTGCCATCGGTGCTGTAGACTTATCTCCATGCTCTCTCCACTGACTTCTCCAGGGGTAACTCTATTTACTCATATATAATATGTACACTCTCCCCCAGCTCTGCCCTCCTTAACTAACCAGAGTTCAACACACGTTCCTTAAGACCCCAAAGATGCAAAGCGGAAGATGTAAAATTGTGCTCGATGCTACCCCCTGGTGGTGCCATGCAGCAATATCTCAATAAACCTGCGTGTTCGC